TGTTTTTAAAGCATTTTTGTTTTGGTGGAATGTATTTCTATTTTTGTTTTATGGAGGTATGAGAGAGAAGATGGGGATTGTACATTTATTAATGCAAGAGCTGGAGTTGGTGGTCTTTTTCCGTATTAAATTTTGTAACCCTTTTATTTCTTTAAACTTTGTTTAGTAGGGCTTCCAATGCCTTTCAGGCCAGAATTGTAACTTTTAGGCATTCAGAATCCTGTATCTGTTTGTTAAAATGGACCTGCTCTGCCTCTGAGCTTCTGAAATCATTGGGTTTTAAGTGCACCTATACACATGCAGAGAACCTGCTCCTACGTGGTATAATTACAGCATGTTGAACCAGACTCAGTTAATTGAATCTAATATATGAGATGCTGCTAATACATGAGATGCTGGAGTCTGCTGGAGCACAGTAATTACTCAATTAATTGAATCTGCTGGAGCATAGTAGTTACCATGCTCCAGCAGACTCCAGCATCTCATGTATTAGTGTCCCTGCACTGAAAATTGGTGTTGGAGGTGCTTTAAAGTTAATTTGGCAAGCTTTAGCTAAAATGACCCTGCCACTATTTTTCAGTGCGGGGATACTGATACAGGAGATGCTCCAGGTGCTTTAATTAGAGTGCCTCTCAGAGCCACACTAATTCAAAGCCTCCTCCCCCACTCCCAGAGCACATGTATAAATGCCCTAAAACACTAGTAGAGAGCATGCTGTTCTTTCATGAGTTGATGTAAGCCAAATTCATTTGTTTTACCATGAAATTGCCTGTAACTGAAGAAAATGCTTCAAGGTATAAAGTGCATTCTCTTCCAAATTCTATAGACTTCATTTTTTTTTCAGACCTTTCCAGGAAACTGTAGAGTAAAATGGTTTCTCTAGGAAAGGGTGGAGTAGCAGAAACTCCTTTTCAACAGCTAGGGAGGTAGGTGTGAGAAATTCATCCTACCAGAAAGGGTTTGGGAAAGAGCTAGGTATTTTAAGCATATTCAGGGTTCAGCTACACTTAGCGTAGAAACATGAGTTGTGCCAGCAAAACCTTCGATGTAGTCAGTTTATAACAACAAAAAGGTATGTTTGCCAGTATAACCTATATCAATTAGATGATTAAAATGAACTAGAGGGACATAACTACTTTTTATGCCAGTATAATGTATCTTATACTAGAGCTTCTGCTGGTACGAAATGCATATTTCTGATATTACTATAGCATCAAATGTTGAAGGCTGGATCTGCACCAGAAACATCTCTTAGTTACAGGATGATGATGATGGAATATTGCACTATATATAAATTACTCTTATGCTGGCAGATTTTAGGGATGGTGGAGCTATCAATCTGCTGTTAAAACTGGCTTTGTGGTACACTCAATAATCCATTAAAAATATACAAATAAAGAAGCTAACTGGTAAATATTAAACAACCAGAAATAAAAAATACTAAAAGGTAAATAATAAATAATGCAATACTTTAGCAGCTACTACACCACACAAACAACTTTTGTATTCATAATATAAATGTGATTTTAAGCAGTACAGCTTTAATGCTACATGGCTTATGCTATTCAATTAGTAAATATTGCCTTGGGGAGCTCTCTAAAATATCTTCCAACAGAATGGTGATCTATACAAACAACAGCAGAGACCAGTTTGTTTTGATGTTACTAAATGCAAAATAAGCCATATATCAAAACAGAGGTAGTGACAGTCTAACTTCCAAAGAATAAAAGGATTTTAGATGTATACTTGTGTTTTGTTTTATTGCTCATCAAAGATTTAACAGTAATGAGCAGCTGCATTTTCTGATTTGTATTATTAAAAAAAAATTAAAAACTCACTATATACAGTGTACACAAAAACAATAAGATATTGCTGGGTGCTGATGTTAGGTTCATGCAAGTACCACTACTCCTTTTGAAAGAGACATTAAAATCTGTAGGACTATGCTACTAATAGGAGAGCACCTCGATTTTTTGGAAAGTCTCATGCTCTGCAATAGCAGCTCCTTCTATGGTGATACAAGAATAATAATTCTAAGTACTTTATGAAGGTCAGCTACAGAATATAGGGCAAAAATATTTATGAATCAGTGTTTTGAGATTAGTTTTTTGTTCAATACTGTCAGTTTACCAATACAAAACATTTAAAACAGAATTGTTTCATATGCTAGAAAGGAATAAAAATAAATTCAGTTGAGCTGTGTCCTGTATCTTGGTACCCACAATATATCCTTTTATAAGCAAATCTGTTGTCTTTACAACCATGTAAAATTTCCATTATAACTACCTTCCTCACTTTCAGATTACAAATATGAATTAAGTAAATCATTAATTGAAATGATGGATAAACTGTAATAAAGGTAACTTAAAATAAATTACTGAGTGTAGAAAACTTAAGTGAAGTGTGTAAAGAGCTATACTGTTTATCTAGCATGAGAGTATTCTTTTCTTGTTAGCTCAAGCAGCATTGAATTTCTTTATGAAGGATAACGTTGATTAATCCTTGAACAAGAGTCACTTTGTATGGCTGCATACAAAACATTTCAGTGGTTTTCTGTTCTTCAGATTTAGGAAATCATGTATCTGTTTCTGTATCAGAGATACTAAAAAGTAATTTATAAAATGGAGCATGTGCAGGGTAAGTTCTCTACCTTACTCAAATGCCTTTAAGTGCATAATGAACACTTACGCAGCTAGACCAGAGTTCTCCAACTGGTGATTGACATAAGGCCCTGGAGCACCTGCTGCTCCTCCAACACTCCTCCCATTGCTCCTGTTGTTATAGTAGCTGGTGGCTCTGTGCTCCCCCCTCTCTTCTGGCCTCCAGCCTCTCCTTCCTGCCCTGTTCCTGGGACCAGGACAGCACAGTGTGGGGGAGGGAAGGAGGAGGAGGAGGACATGGTTGGGGAGAATATTTGTTGCCTGTGCATTGTGCACAGGTGGGGAAGAATAGCCAGGCTGCACGTGCAGTGGGGAACGGAGCCAGGCTGCCTACAGCAGGATGGAGTAGTGGGTTGCTCACGCAGTGGGGAAGGACTGTGAGAAGGCTGCCCCTGTGGTGCATGCCTATGCAGCATACAGCTTGCAAGGCTGCAGTGCCCCCAGCACCCAGAAGTTAGACAGCCCTAAGCTAGGCAAAAAATCTAGTGTCCAGGTTGAAGACTCCACCCCAGTCCACCTTCATTCAGGAAAGGATATTTCCTACTGTTAAACTGTTTCCAAGAAGCACTCTAACAATTTGGAATCCCATCTGGCAGTCTCAGTTTGTTTGGTATTTAGATTATGGAGTCTTGAAAGTGAAAACTGAATTCTTAGTGAACAAGGGCCAGCCAAAACCTGCAGAGAGTATGCTGTTACCCGAATGGTGGAGCTAGCTTCTCTTGTACACTGACAGATGCAATGCAGTTTCCAGACTCAGAGCTCTTCACAGAAATCAGCTAATAGCAAGATCAGTACTTCTGCTATTTAGGTGGTAATGGCCCTGATTCAACCAAAATATTCAAACTGAGGTCAAAAGAACTATCGACACACATGTATGCCAAAGTGCCATGCTGAATGGGAGGCTGTCTGAAGTGCTGCCACTCCAAAGTTTGTAAATAAAGTTAGGTTAGGTCAGTTTGAATTAGGAATAGTCAAGATAACTTCAAAATATTTTGAATCTTTCATGTATTATTGAATGTCTAGTAGTGTCCCTTATCTTTGCAAATACTTGCTAAGTTTTATTTTTGATAATATCTAAAATTCCAAAGGAAGTACAGTTAATGCTTTGAATCCCTACTTGTTATACAGTTTGTATAACATCTTAAATATTACTGGTCTGATATTCTTTTTCATTGTTAAAACTGGTATTACCTGATTTTTATTAAGTGTTTTGGTATAAAAGTATTTAAATTTTCCTCTAAAAAATAAATATTTCAACTCTTGTCTTAAAATCCTGAGTTCAGTTCTGTTGGTCTGGTGAGGATGTTGTATTTTTCCAATACTTCCAATGATATTCTTTGTAAATTATTGTAGTTAAATGTAAATATGTTAATGTAAATTATCATATCCCAAAATATGTCATAATTTGGGAACAGACCTGCAGTTCTTTTTGAGCAAACATTCAAACTGAAAGAAAGAATTGGAAGAAGAGATAACTGTGTCTAGGGCTCATAATTCTGAAAACTTTAATTTTAGATTTTTTTTTCATAAATAGGATTGTGAGTTTAAAGTAATCACATTCCTTCTCGTACCTTCTATTTAATAGTAAATTAAATGGTGTATTGACCCTCTAGCATGTAAATTATGTTATTTATTTGATGATTATCCATTATTAGAAAGGCAGTATCTTTCTGATAAAAGATGAGAAACTTGTCTGTTTCTTGAACTTGACTTTGCAAGTCTGTTGAAGATGCATTTTTAATTAAGCTCAAGAGTTCTACAATAGATTGAAAAGAAGCATTTTGTTATTAAAACATTAGTTGTTGGTCTAGTCCCTGAATTGCTTAGAGACTTAGGAAATGAGAAGAGGACTGATCAGGTATGGCTCCTTGAGCCTGCCAGAATAATGCATCATGCAAAGTCAGTTAACATCCCCAAACTAGCACAGTTTAAGTTTAACTGCTGTTCATATTCAGTAAAGACCTACCACAGAAATAGCTGAGGAAGCCTGTATTGTACTAGTTTAGACTATGCCTCTGTGTTCATCAGTTCCCCGTTTTCATGAACCTACATTCACACCAAACATTTCTTTTAAAGGCAACATCTTAAATGTCTTCAGAAGCTGTCAGTAATAACAATGTAACATAATATAGAAATTCACTATAGCTTTAAACTTTCCTTTGCTAATGTTACCAAAATGTATTTTCATCCTCTGCATTACAGGAAAATTCTTTCAACTCTAAGCTAAGGGTACTCTGATAATTATTATATTTTTGGAAAAAGTAAAAGCAGCCAGGCAATAAGGCAAGTATGTTTACATTGGCTCTCAATGTTATAATTTTTGTTCTTTTTATTTTTTAGTGAATGAGATCATAGGAAGAGATATGTCACAGATCTCCGTGACGCATGGAGCAACAGTGGCCAGCCAATCTCCACATGTATGCCCTGGATCTCTGGAGACAGAAATATTGGATGAAGTCCAATAGTGGATAAGCTTACAACTAAACACCTAAGGAATTCTGCAGTTTTCTCTGAAAAAAATCTTTATCCCCCTTTCTTACACTTTTACTGTGCTTCCAACTCTGTGGCCTTTATGAACTGGAACAGCAGATCCTTGCATAGCCCTTTTAGTGGGTTACACTTTTAATGTGGAGTGAGAGCATTTTTAATTCTAGTTCCTCAGATGCTGTAAAAAGTGACTTGGTGAATGGACATAAAGAAGCAATGAGATGTTTTAACTGTTTAAACATTAAATGCAAGCTTTGCTTTTTTGCATTTGAATATAGAGTTCTTTTATATTGTAAGTGCTTCAAAAGTGTGGAGATGTTAGATTTGCTCTTATAATATTCACAGTACTGAATGTGAAAAAAAGATTTAATACGCATCTTCAGTGTGCTGCTTTCCCTTAGAAAAGGTAGTATAGTTGTAATTGATGATTTGTACACCTTTTAGTCATTTTGGAAAGCCTTTAAGCTTATATTGTTTAACAGATAATTTTTTACAATGAAATCTTCCAGAGGCAAAACATAATAGTCATCCTAAGCCAATGCCTTGGAAGCCATTCTGTATAAAATACTTTATAGTTTTCTTTCTTAGATTCATAGGAAGCAAAGCCAAATGTAGATCTGCACTTCTTTATAAAATGAAAATGTAATTTGATAGGCTACAAAGAAACCATTCCATCATGGAAGTGTTCGGGACAGAAATGACATTCCAAAAATTTATCTTTTATAACTTTATGGATAATCTTCCTGTGCTTTGTTAGCACAGACTTCTTACTGAAATACCGTTTTTCATAGAAATGTTATATTTGTAATGAGAGTTGAGAACTAGAATTTTAGAGTAAAGAACGTTAATGTCAAAGCCATGTTAGAAGAGGGTAAATTTTTCATATGTGAAGACAATTTAGGTGTCTGTTATCCCTATGGAATATTGTTTTAAGATCAGTGTTCAATGGCAGTAGTTTTCCATGCGCCAGGTAACTTGCTCACATTCATATTTTATATGCTGTCTAAACAATGCCACTTTGAAATGCAGTTGATTAAATTATATTATACACTTAAAATTGGACTGCTAGACACTTGAACTTGCTAAAACAAGTTTGCTGTGCTTTAACAGTAGTACATAAACTAATTTGCCCACATTTAATGGTAAATTTGTAAAACAGGACTTACTTCACAGTAAAATATGTAACACAGTGTCTTGTGGCATTAATCTTACAGATCATGTGAAAGGATGCATTTCCCTCATGTACTTACTTAATCTGATAGTACTGTTTACACTATACAGTTCTTAAAATCTTGGGCCCCTATGATTAGAAACCTAGGCAAGGACCCATAACTGCCTACTTAGGCCACATTATGTATTTCCCAAGAGGTCATAGTTTACAGACCTTTCCAATGGAACATACAGGGTGTACAAAAAGTAAGTCATATATATATATATATATATATATATATATATCTCAAAATAAGCTCCAAAGTACACTGTACTTCAGATTATTTTTAATTTATAGGACATTTTTAGTTCCTCAGTTGAATGAACCTTATGTTCAAGTGAAAAAAAGCAGCAAATACATTTGGCCTTAATTATCCAAATATAGGGAGGGAAGGGGGAATCATGCTGAAATTAGTTCAGGTATTTCAGGGAATTTTCAATAAATTTAATGTAGGTAGACATGTCTCCTCTATGTCTCACTTTTAGAGAAATTAATCTACCAGCTCAAGTTTTGACATTTTACTTATCTGATTTTATAGAAATGCAGTAAAACACAAAAGAAAAAGCCTTAAATTAACATCATTATTGAGGTCATTGTGAAGCCATTAAAGTAAATATCCATTTTGTGATACCTATGTGTTGACAAAGCAGCCTAGGGAAATTTTACATGGACCCTCTTGTAAATGAATCATCAATTTATTCACATGAATGTGAATATAATATCCTAGCAAAACTGTTAAACTAGAAATACCATGCCTTTATATTTGTTGGATCATGGACCTTTAGAAGACCTACATTTTAAGTGGATAAAATTGAAATTTTCTTCCATGAATTACTGTGTTTAAACAAATTAGTGGCTTTTAAAAATTCAACAAAGGGTCATTGTGTTGGGTGCTCAGAACTTTAAAATTTGAAATAAGTTTATGCAAGGCCACTTTACTTGTACATACATTTCTGAAAAACTGTACTCTGGGAAACTAAGCATCCTTTCAGTGAACGTACTGTAAAAATATATAAATCTCAAAATCCAAATAAGTTCTTTTTGGCAGTTCTTTAAAGGGTGATATTAAAACTATCCCTCACTGGTGCTTCTTTACTCTGTCCTCTACTCACATTAAGTTTAAATATCCTAAAAAGGGTTGAAGTGTTCAGAAATACAGCTAGTTATGTTTTTATAACACTTTTTGAAACACTGTAAGCTGTGTAACTGTCTTTAGACTGTGTGCTGGTGGCAAGGTGTGTTCCAGTTTTCATTAATGTACCAGATCTTCTGCATTAATCAATATTTTAGGGGAATTCTTACTTATGAGCTGTCCATAAGTGTGGGTTTTGTGCTCCTTACTGACTGGTACAGCCTCTTCTCCTTGCAAGTCCTGTTAGTGAGTAGCTGAAATTCATATTGTACCTAAAATATGGGAGCCCATACAATCCAGAGTTGCTATGCACTAAATCTTCTGATGCCTTTAAATACCTTGATGCCTGTAGACATAGAAATGCTTTCCTATTTAAAAAAATAAAAATATAGCTTTGGTTACTAAAGCAGTTTTGTATTTGCCTTGTAAAAGCTTCAATACAAGGGTCTTAATTTTTTTGGCTTGTGTGATACTATAGATAAAGACTGTTAATCTTGAGTAATGTAGTGGTATAAAAGCACACAATCTCCATTGGACTATGCAAATTTAAATTTATAACAGTACCCTGTAATTTGATATTTTGTTGGCATCCACTTTCTTGTCCATCTTTTTCCCCCTGCCATAACCACCTCCAAAACTCTGCTTTCCAGTTTGATTTTTAGATATTAAATCAAGGAAAGCCTCATTGATAAAATTGCTTTTTTCTACAAAGAAGGTGGAGGATCAATGTTAGGAATACAAATCAAAGAATGGTATTTAGCACATTAAATATGATCTATGAATAAGTACCATTTCTGAAATTAACCTTAAAACTGGCAATCAATCAGACTTCCTCTATTAAACCTTTCATTATATCAGTGGAACTGCCATTCTTTTTAAAACCAAAGATTGAAGAGATAAAATGACAGCTTGTTCTGATGCAAACAATGCTTTGAAACTCTATTTTTGATACACATAATGGGTGTCATTCCTTGAAGTTTGGAAATCATTCAGCAAATTGAAGTTTTATATTTAAAAATATGGGACAATAAAGATTAAGTTCTAGATGTTTACAGAGCCTTGTATTGTAATTTCATGTACATTTTGTATTTTAAACATTTTTGTAAGTTATGATTGCAGTGCTACTTGCAGAAATACAAAGGGAAGAACTTGCATTTTAGCCTCTTGAATCATAGTGTTGAAATAAATGATAAAATGCAAAAAATGTGTTATTTTTTTAATGAAATACATAACCTGAATGAGTGGAGCAGAACTGTTATTAATACTCTAGCCCAGTGGTTCTCGGAAGGGTGGGGATGGGGGGGGCGACAATTTAAAGGTTCTGGTAAAAATGGGGAATAGAGGTGCAAACCAGCTTTGGATCTCTCTCATTCTTGCAGTGGTGCCAGATTGCACCTGAGGCAGTGGTGGGGACAGGATGAAGCGCTACTGGCCAGTCATACTTTGGTGGTCAGAAGGCCCCTGGCCATGGGGGTTGGGGGGCAGCTGCTGCACGCTCAGCCTCTGGCCTCAGGAGGAGCTGGAGCAGCAGCAGTACAGCCACCTTTTGCAGACCCCCTAGACATGCTTCATGGACCCCCAGAAATCTAGGGGGAGGGGCACCCCCCCAACATGTCACCTGTGCCCAAAAGGCTCTGTTGTGTTACAACTAGCAAAATCTGCCCAATAGTGAAATGGGAATATCCTTGCAAATTAAGAATTAATGAGACTTCACAGAATGTGATGAGTATACATACATACTTTATCAGCACCCAATTTTTAAGTACCAAACTTGCCCAATTACCAACATTTTGCTATTTAGAATGATACAACTAAGTGATGAGCCTTACAGGTTAATTCATAAAATACCAGTCACTATCAAACATAAGAATTCTATTGTACTAGTTCATAAAGGTATTTTAAATATCATAGGAAAGATTAAATTTAACCATTTCAGATATAATTTTCTATACTTCCAAAAGGAATTTAAAGTTTCTATTATGTGCAACCTACTTCATTTGCAAAATGATCAAGTTGTATATAAAAAAAAACTTATTGGCATTGCTCACATTGTGGATTCTAAATTCATTGTGGAGTGCATGTATAACTCCAGATCCAGTGACGTGCATCCCTTTTTGACTCCTGAGAAAAGCCCTTTTCCCTGATGAGCAGATAGTCAATGTAACTATTTAAGAGCTCCATGAAAATTGTGTTACGTAACTGTATATCAGTCCAAGCTCTGTAACTTATTCTAAATGGATGTCTTACAGGCTAACACAGTGTTGGAACTTCAGCAAACTAATTGGCTCTCAAAAAGATTGATACAGTTGTTAATAAAACCTGAACTTGTCATGAGCTGGGTTAATGTTTTCTGCTTAGCAAATCTGTAATTATATTATGCCCTGATACAGAAACGGGTTTAGCACATTCCAAATTTAGGTTAGATCTATAGCTTTTGATTTGCAGCATTGCATTTACCCATGTGAGGCAGCATCACAGATTCCAGTCATATGGCACAGTGAGAGTACAGACCAGTTTATGATTGGTCACCTATCCAAAGCATCTTCCAACTGATTATCTTTACTGATGGTGCCCATGTATAAATAGATCAGAAAAGGATGGCTTCAGTGCCAGAGATTTAATTATAAGTAATTATATCTGAAGTTTACTAAATATAGTACAAGTTTGAATGCTGTTCCACATAGCTTCCAGTATAATTAGCAGGTATGTAATTAGTACATAGTAACACTAGTTATATAGATCAATGATGTCTGGGTACTAAAATGTCAATCTGGGTTTTTCTCTCTCAGATGCAAGTCAGTCAAAGGCTGGTTCACTAAGAGGTTAGAAGATGAGATTAATGTTTAAACTGTATATGACTAAGCCAAAGGAGTCAAACTGACACCTACACATGTTTGCATATCTCTGTCCCGTGGGGCAATTGAACATATTTTATTTCAGGCATTGTCATGTGAAGATGTAGTAGTGTGACAGAAGTATTTTGCCTTTCCAGGAAATGACAGAGGTGACAACTCTACTGAGGAAAGTCCCTTTAGCAGAACAGTTAATAGTTTTAATTCTCCATGACCCAAAGCCAGAGATGCTCGGAAAGAATGAGGTCCCTCTTAATCCTTACAGGCAAGAATAACAGTAGTGACCTCCTTAGAAAGCACCACCCTACCCTACCCAAAAGTACCAGGCCTCTGTATTTCCCTCACCCAAGCTATCTTGTTTGAAGGAGAAAGACGACATGCCTGTGGCAAGGAAAATCACAAACATAAGACCCCCAACCAGGGAGCTGCTAAGCAGTGATTCTTCTTAACACCTTGGGCAACAGGGACCAAGTCCTAAATATTTTGATTTTGAACCTTCTTACCTCTCAGCCAATCAGCACCCCCTAGCCCTTTTCCATCAATGTCCCTCTACTCCCAATTTTGCTGTCCCTTGTTCCCAGACTTTAATCCTTCCCTTCTGTTTCTCTCTCTGTTCCATGTATGTGTTCCAGCACATGCACTTCAGGGAGAGAACTGCCTTTCTGCATCCCAATTCAACCCACATAAATATATAATGAACAGTGCTTTATATTCTCAAGGCCTCACCGTAATCTCTTGGTCATAGCTTATCACCTCAGCAATTTTGTCTTTTAGATTTAGCCGTTTGGGACAGCTTCCCTATAGGTACATGCTACAGTGATATTAAAATATTGGAAATGTACATGAAGAATGCCACTCTCTACCACTAGAGCACTGAAGAGAAAATAATTACTTTCTGTGGCTGAATTAAAGTCACTGCTAGATATTTGTTTTTTGCTATTTAGTTAGTCTAATAAAAGCTATTGCCTCTGGTCCAAGAGTTTTGTTTGTCTCTACTTTTTAGACCAACACAGCTACAAAATATATCCCTGAAACATGGAAGAACTCTTTTATCCACTCTTCAGGTAGCAGCTCCTTAAAACTTTTTCCTTTTATTCTAATTGTTTGGACATAAATACAAACAGTGCATTTAAGCTAGACATTTTACCTGGCTCAAGGAACTGGCTGGTAATTTCTGACAGTGCTTATTACATAGAGCAATGTAGCAAAAGCACCATGACATTTTTTAATCCCTAGCAAACAGTAAACAAGCTAAACTTTACACAATAGTGTTGCAGTTCACAACAGATTTCCTCTCACTGCTTTAACAGATTCTGAAGTTAGTGGCAATGATTTTTTTAGGGTACTTGGGGGGAAGAGTTGTTTTATTTTATTTTTTTTACTTTAACCAGTGGCTTGTAACAGGAAACTAATGTCTGTCTCCCAACATTGTCACAGGTATGGCATCTGCTGGGAAAGTCTGGAATCAAGATGGCTGTAGGTGGTGCCCATGCATAGTATCAGCAAATAAAACTCCTATTCCCAACTAGGTCATTGAATGAAAGTGTCAAACACTTAGAAAAGTTCCACAGACCTTGCCTGAAATATGCACTGAAGAATCAGTGTAGCAGATGTATCTCTTTTCATCACTCCTCTACCAGCAATGTGTGTGTACAGGCCTAGATATAACAAAGGAAGACCACTGACTCATTTCTTGTCTGGCTTCTTAAAAGGAGAGAAAACAAAGGACAAAGGCAGCTGTACTCTGAGAAAATCATCTCTCTGACAAGCTATCTATAATGCTTCTATATGCCTCTCCACCCTTTCTAAGACTGTCTGGAAGTACCTCGTTACAGGCAGCAAGGAGTGAAAAGGCTTCAGATGAAAGTATACGGGGGTGTAGGTTGTAGCCGTGTTGGTCTAAGGACATAGGCAGACAAGGTTCCTTCGGTGAATCTGATATCTCTTATTAGACCAACCCATATAGTTGAAAAATAATTATTAAGCAAGCTTTCGGGTTCAAAAACCCTTCGTCAGGCTAAGGAAGTTTCAGCAGTTGATGTGTGCTCTTCCTGGATGGAATGAAAAGTAAAGAAGCCAGGGGCTGGGGTGGTCTGCATACAAGGCAGGCAAGTCAGTGAAAAATGTAGATTGAGGAGTCAATGGGTGAGAGACAGGCTGGGCGGTGGGGGGGGGAGAGAGAGAGAGAGAGAAGGGGGTGAAAGTGGAGAGATACCTGGGGAGTCAGATGTCAGGCAGGTTATAATGTGTCATAAATCCAATGTCTATATTTAGTCCATGATTTTTAGTATCCAGGAGGTTGATGAAATGGAGCTCATAGGCTCATCTCCAGGAAGTGTTTTGTAAGTTTCCTTTGAGGATCGGGACTGAGAGATTGGAGAGAGGGTGGTTTTCTTGTGAGAAATGTGCCCCCACCGGTAATTGGGTATTTCTGTCTTTGATAGATTTCTGGTGTGCGTTCATTCTGGTGCACAGTTGTTGTTTGGTCTCTCCTACGTATTTTCCATCACGCCATTTGGTGCATTGGATGAGATATATTACATTTCTGGAGGTGCAGCTGTAAGATCCAGCTGACTACCTGTCTTGTATACATACCAGCCCAGCTGCTGGCTTCTTTACTTTTCATTCCATCCAGGAAGAGCACACACCAACTGTGGAAACTTCCTTAGCCTGACAAAGGGTTTTTGAACCCGAAAGCTTGCTTAATAATTATTTTCCAACTATTCGGGTTGGTCTAATAAAAGATTTCAGATTCACTCAAGGAACCTTGTCTGCCACATGAAAGTATGACACTTCAAAATACACCAGCACCTAACATGCTTTAGGTCTCTTTCTCTGCCAGTCTGTCTAACTCCAGTGGAAGTGTACGATTTCAGTGGTAATAGGCTGGATCTACTCTGCTGCACGTGGAAGTAGAACTGGGACTCACTATACAAAAGCATTTGAGGTATGCTTAAAGTGGCCTGCCCCTTATAATCCTAGTGAGTGAACAGTGAAGCACAGGATAAAGAAATAACAGAACCATAAAAATCCAAAGAACCAGAATTTTGTTTTGCTATTATAAACACAGTCAAAGCAGGATTTGGTGCCAAATCACTAACAAAAAAGTTAACTAAGTACTTGCCCAGAAATGTGGAAAACTTATTTTGTAAGAAAACAGGAAGTAAGTTTTATGGGTTTATGTGCCACTTCCCACCACCTCTCTAAGCTACTTCTCAAAAAAGCTAAAAGAATCCTGCTGTTAAGGCTTCTATAGTAAGGAGCACCCCTATTTAATTACCCCTGAAAAGTATTTACTTAAACTTTCAGTGTTACACAGCAAATCAAACTAAACTGCCCTATTTGAAAAAGAATGCAACAGAGTCA